CTTACCTCGGTGAAGTTCATAAAACAATATACGAAAGCAATAGCATTATCATTATCATGAAATCATATGAGCTGTATAACATAATACTTGTCACACCTTTGCAATTCAATCATTACACAACATATTTTTCCTCATTTGCCAGCCTACTAGTATCCATGGGGATCCATAGGGGTCCCGCTACCCGTTAACACTTAACACTTGTAATCAGATTCTAGAGCCGTCCCCATACCCCGTCCGGTATGGGTGCCAAAACTATAAACCTCAATACCCCATCCGGTATGAGGGTGAAACGGGCCGTCCCCATACCCCGTCCGGTATGGGCGCCAAACACATAAGGTCTCCATACCTCGTTCGGTATGAGAGACCACAATCCCGGTAGGGTTCCCTACGGACCCGGTTCATCCACCATCTCCAAGGATATCTAGTCAGGCTGACCACATTATACAATTATCAATTTACATAACATTTCATTCCCATTTTTCTCAGTCAGCATCATCAATTCACACACAAACAAGCAAACCAGTAATTTATGCCAAACAAGACAACATACAACATCGGGTTCTCAGTCATTCAACCCATAATCAATAAAACAGTAATATATGCACACGAAACTATGAAATGAAAACATCAGACCTCATACTACATTTAAAAACTGTAAAATAGGCAAACAACAATTGACCGACAAATACACTAGACTCGGGCTCCATTAGCGACCTTAAACAATTTCACACATCTATTGATTCATGAAATATCGTTTTATCATTTATTGAACTTTAATACCGTGATAGAAAATAGGGTGAGGGGTCCTTACTTGTTTCGGGGTCCGAATACGGCTCTACAGTGCGCCTGTAGGCTGTCCCTAATTTCCTTAATTTTTTTCCCGGGGAACTGAAACGCACTACTGGTACCTGCACGTGTCCCAAAAAATCCCAAATTAGACCCAGGGCCCCTTTCGGCCAATATCGCAATTCCGGCACGGCGGCTCCGCCGTGCTTCGGCGACGGCGCCGCCGCTTGCGGCGGCGATTCGCCTCGGGTTGGCCGTTTTCAGCCGAATTCGGCCACACTTGCATCAGTCCCTGCGATAAAACAACCCTAGGGCCCTTGGGGGGCCAAAAAAATTATGAAAAACCGAAGCTTACCGGCGGCGGTGCTCTCGGGTGCGGCGGCTCTCCGGCGAGGTTCGTGTTTTGGTGATTTGGCTATGATCAACCTGTAGAGAAAAGAATGGTGATCATGGTGATATAAAAATTGTATCAATCGGAGGCCGGGAAGGGCCTCATCGGAGGCAAAAATCGAGGAGGGGCGGGGCGGCGCCGCTGGGTTTTGGCCGTGTTTTCCGGCCGTTTGGCCGGGATTTTGGCTTCGATTTGGCCACAGGGGAACTCAGCGTTGAAAAATGAGCCGGGGTATGAAATTTACATCGATCGGCAGTCGGAAAACTCCCCGGTGCGGCGGCGGGTGGGGGCGGCCGGCTCCTCCGGCGTCTGGTTCGTCTTCTCCGGCGAGGGCTGGCGACTAGGGTTTTTGTGGTCAGGTGTGGGGGTTCTATTTATACCCTTTTGCCTTTTGATCACCGCCGTCCATTTTGATTAAATCTGGGCCGTCCGTGTTTGATTGAATCTGGACCGTCCGTGCGCGTGTATCTGGGTTGTCCGTGCGCGTGCATCTGGGCAGTCCGTGCGCTTGCATCTGGGCCGTCCATGCGCACGCTTAATCTGGGCCGTCCGTGCGCGCGGGGACGCATCTGGGTCGTCCGATCGCGCGCATGCGGATCGCCCATGTGGCCTGTTCCCGGGTCAACGTGATCTTGCCACGCGGCAGGTCCTGGTTGGCCAGGGCTGCTGACTGGGCCGCTGACGTGGCTGCTGACGTGGCGCTGACGGGGTGCAATTTTTTTAAATTGCGTTTTGACCCCCGGTTTCCGATTTTCTTTTCAAAAATACCCCCAGAATCCTAATTTTTACCCATTTTTCCCAAAATCAATTTTAATTAAATCCAAATAATATTTTTACCCAAGTTTACAATTATTGTTATTTTTATTTTTATTAAATTAAATTAAAATAAACTAAATAAAATAAAATAAATAAAAATAAAATTAATAATAATAATACTAAAATTTTAAAATTATTGGGCGTTACATGCGGTGCTGGGCATACGGTGTCAAGCGTGCGGCGTGCGTTGCTGGGCACATGGCATGCGTTGCTAAAGAAGGAGAAGCAAAACACATGTTGTGTGGACCTGATCTGCATGAGGCAGACCCACAACGCAACATTCCGGATCTGATCAAAGATCTGTGCGAGGCCAAAAATCAGGGAACCGGAGAGAGAGACTGAAACCACACTCTTTCGGGTAGAACGTTCAAATTCGACACCGAATTCGATAAATTTTCTTCCACTTTACATTCGGTTATTATTTTAAATTAAATCCTTAATCATGTGTATGAAAATTTTAAGAAAATTGGGAATAAGAAACTGGAAAGGGAGCTGACTGTATGGAACCAAAATTGTTTGAAAGCTTTCTGATTTCTTTTCTCATTGGAGATTTTAGTAAGAATTGAGTTAGTTTTCATTTGGGAATTTCATGTTTTTTTTAAATAATTTATTGATTTTAAAATGATGAACCCAAGTTTAATAGATGATTTTAGAATATGTTTTCTCACAAATTATCATTCGTATGTGAAAGTGTGTGAATAACTTCCTACGATTATGTTTTCGTAATTAAAAATAATGTTGAAGCTATATGAATATATAACTAAGTGTTCTTGAATGTATGTGCGTGTGCTAAATAATACACATATAGGAGATAATGGGTAGAAGTGTACGTTAAAAACTGGATGTCTTGATGTACATATACATATGATTACGTGAGCAATTATTCTGAATGTGCGGTATATGATTTCATATGGATATGCATAACACCCAACTATTTCTTTTTAATTTTATTATTATTATTTTACTTTATTTTATTTTAATTTAATTTATTCTATATGAATATAATTAAGTATTAATAGAATTTAATTTAATTTAATGGAAATAATAATAATAATAATAATAAGATGTAAAAATTATTTAGGAATTTAATTGAAAATAATTTTGAAAAAAATGGGTGAAAATTTGAGTTTTGGAGGTATTTTTAAAAGAAAAATCGGAAACCGGTTGTCAAAACACAATTTAAAAAAGTTGTGCCACGTCAGCTATCTGGTAAGCAGCCCTGGCTAATTAGGGCGCGCCAGGTGGCAGAGACGCTGACGCAGGAGGGAGCTACATGGGCGATCTGCGTGCGCGCGATCGAACGGCTGAGATCTGTTCCCGTGCGCACGGACGGCCCAGATCAAAAACGCGCACGGACGGCCTAGATTGCATCGCACACGGACGGCCAAGATTGAATCGCACACGGACGGCTTAGATTGAATCGCGCACTGACGGCTCAGATTAAATCGCGATGAACGACCCAGATTCATTTCCTATTTAATCGCGATCGGACGGTCCAGATTAAAAGCGATGGATGGCTTAGATAAAAAATGGATGGGTATAAATAATCTCATTCGCACCTAAACCCTAACCCTAGCCGCTAGAGCCCCTCGCCGGGGAGCCGATCGCCGCCATCAGCCGCCGTACTGGAGCAATTTTCGGCCGCCAAAC